AATACAATACAAATAAAACATAGAGAAAAACGAAGTAAACAATAACGAGTACCGGAAAAAAATTCCCCTTGTCACATCTTACCGAACGCGACGTCTCCAAGGCCACATATCATCGAAGCCACACCAGTCCGCCTCCCGTCTTATAGTCATTAATCTGGGGCTTCCGGCTCTCGTTCCATCAATACAAGTGGCAAACCCCTTATAACCACGAACCCACCCGCGTTCCCTACGGCCTATCATTCCGGATACGACACATCAAATCTACTTACACTCCGAGCTGTTTTATATCCGGTGATAATACCATCTTCCTTTTTCTTCTTCATGTACTTAACGTTGAATTTAATAATGACTATGGCAATTGATCCTGAAGATGCAAGCAGAGAGGAGATGCGAAGGAAAGAGCTACAAAATTGCTGAAAAGGGGGACACCGAAGCAGCACCTAACCTCACTCAATTGTGCAGTGCGCAACGAAATCAATTAGCTAAAATATTTAAATGGAGGGAAATGCGTAAAAGGCATAATGTATTTGAAAGAAAGGCACGTAAATCAAAAGCAGAAGAAAAAACACAATACGCATGATACGCACAACATGCATACCTACGGTAAATGGTAAATAAATATGTATGTGTGTGCTCAATGCATATATATATATTATATATACTACTTCACCTTATGATGATTCATATAATTACTATAAACCCTAACTCATCAATAATAATATGCCTGTGTGGCCCAGAATCTGTGTGTGTGTGTTGCCTGTTTGTGTGTACCTCTATATGTAACCTATATTATTAGTATTATATACTATTATAACTAGTATATGTACTGGTATTCATATACCAGATACTACTATATATCAGTAAACTAGTTACTATAAATATATGATGTCAGCCGGTGTCGTGTGGGGGGTGTGATGTGTGTTGTGATCGCTGTCATATCAGTATTATACTCATATATCTAATACTCTTAAACTTTGTTAATATTAAGTATACTAGCTAGTAAGCTCATATCATATACACGATGTATCGCTATAACTCATATTGTGCACAACACCACTATGTGTACTTACTCTGAAGATTCGCACACTCCAACAATGACAAAGCCTGAAGTAAATCGAACGAAATCAACAGAACAGACCAAACGACACCAAACCCAACCTGAAAACGCAAGAAGAGCACAAACATGACTCAACTCCACGTCACTGCCCGAAGAACTTAAAATATCATTAACCTACAAGACAACGAACCGACACGACGAAGTCAGATCAACTCTGACATACAAAGGAACGCGCTTGATCCCTGATGCCCATCCTTATGCTCATCACCGCTTGGCACTCATGAGCGATACGGCACCGCTTTGAGCACAATACATGATCCATGAGCAGGGGAGGAGGGTAAGGCGGCTGCGGCCGGTGGGCAGAGAGCTGGACCCTGCGCGGTGGGGCTTCTTCTGGCGAATGAGGTAGAGGGCAGGCATACAGCGGTCACACAAGGACCCTATGCTGCGGCGGACGCCTGTAGGATCTCTCTAACGGGGACCAACACACGCTATACCTCCCGTTATCACTGGCGCGAGCCCCAGCCGAAACGCCTCTGAGGCTGCAAAACTCCGCACTCCGACTAACTACTCAGCTCCCGCCATAACACGGACTTTACTAGCCGGCCGACTCACAGGTATACGTACAGCGCCACCTTCCCCGCTATACATGAAGACACTGCATTTGATTTATCGCGGTAGTCATCTACTCGGCTCCTCTGTACCAAAATTAAGCGTGTCCGCTCTCGACTTCTCTTGGTCCGCCGCACCAGCCTCGATCATGGAAGAACTCAACACCGACCCAGCGACCTTCCCGCGTCTCTCTAACGTTCATCTTAGCTGACTAATCACCGACTTCCTGAACCGTATACGCTTAATTTACTGCAGAGTCGCGTCTCACCATAACTTCCGACCACGGACTGAAGCCAAATCATCGGGAAATCCACATTCGATCCAGGCATCTTCGACCTCACCGATGCCGCGTCGCGGAACTTCGGCCCATTTTCAAGCGATAATCCCCCAGGACCTTCCCCTCAAACACCTGGCCTCCCGCCTGCGATGCCAACATTAAACATCCACTATGATTTAAGCACGGATGGCGAGTTGCATGTATACCCGACTGAACTAAGTCTCACGCTCACCTTCGAACATACATCAATTTCATCTCCATGTACATCTATCTGCAATCACACTGAGTAACCGTCCAATACACACGCGGGTGTTGTCCATATTAGCTCGACTACCGATACTGCCGCGCGCTATCCTCCTCACTCCAGACTCGCAGGGTCTTCAGATCACCTCGAGTCCGAACCTGCAATGCTGACACACAACTACCACACCCCTTAATTTCTATGAACCTGCCTCACACACTATCATCCCACATATGCTCAGTCCATCCCGAACCATAGCCTACGATTAGCATGCTGCACTAAACGTTCACGCCGTCTTCTATCTAGACCCCCTATGGACTTCATGACGTGGGAGCTCACTAGATCAAAAGCGCGACATGATTCAGCGCCAAGAGGATCACGGGGCGCCCCGACATTTAGCAGCGGTCGGCGCTCCGCTATTGGGCTGGGCTCTTCTGGGAATGAGGAGGAGGTTCCAAATGTAGGACTCCCTGGTGGGAGGGGAGGGGTGGAAGGAGGGTGTTACGCCTCTCTTGCATAGCCTTTTGAGATTTGGTTCGTCGTTCGTTTTGAGCTGATTTAATTGGGCTCTTGTCGCTCCCTCCTTTCTTCGCTTTTGTCTATTTTCATTATAATACTATTAATTCTGGACGCTTTGCTTTTGATTATTTGTCGATGCCTTCATCTTGGATGTCATTTGATTTGTTGTTGCTGTTGCTAGTTTTTCTTAATTCATTGTTTTTTTTACTTTCCTTTTTGGGGGCGGAGATCCAGAGGACATATGGCGCTCCTCCGTACCTAATCAACCAGCAATCACATTGATTGCGCAATGGCCTGAGTTTTGATTTGTTTTTGTACTATCATTTTCTTTTTTTTAAGGGAGCTTGTTTGCTTTTTTTTTCTATCCTTTCTGTCCCCCTTCCTCTCTTTATTATCTCTGGTTTCCCTCACCATTTTAACCACCTTCTCCTCCTTCGCTTCTTTCCTTTCTTTCTTTATTTTCTTCCTTTCTCTCTATCATATCATTCATCTATCTATCGTATCTTCTATGTTATTATCTTCCCTTTCTTCTCTCCCCCTTCTCCCCTTTCTCTCTTTTCTCTTTCGCGCCTTTTCTCCTCTCCCTCCTCACCCTCAACTTTCTGTCTCTCTGCGTTTCTCTCTCTCCCTCCTATACTTCTCTCTCTCCTCTCCTCTCTCTCATCTCATCTTCTCTCGGTCCTCATCTCTCTCTCTCTTCTCTCTCTCTACCTCTTTCCTCTCTATCTAACTCTCTCTCTCTCTCTCTCTCTCTCTCTCTCCTCTCTCTCTCATCTTTCTTCTCTCTCTCTCGTCTCTCTTTCTCTCCTTCTCTCTCTCTCTCTCCTCTTCTCCCACTACCTTCTCTCTCCCTCTAGCACTCCAACTCCTGTCCTAGGGTTGCTGCTATCCCTCCCGAATCTTTCTCCTTACCATTGACAAGATATTCTAATAAGACACACTGAAAGTAATATTGATAAAAGAAATCGAGACCTTCTATCTCTTATTCTAAATTCATTCATCATTATTTTCTGAAGAAGGACACTGTTACCACCTCAGACGAGTCCTACGTGAAACCCCTTCGCCGAGAGCATCAAGGTTCCCTCACTTATCTGGCAACAGCTTTAGAGATACAATGATTATTATTAGTTATATATTAATATATTAGTTATACAATAATATATATATATATGATAATAATTTAGAGATACAATAGAGCTTCATCACAGCCTCAGAGTCAAAGGAAATCTAACTTAAGTGCGGCTGGGCCCCACCGTTTTAAGTTTAAGAACATTGGTCTACATCCCTTTCCCCTCTTCCTCTCCTCCGTCTCCCCTTCCCCACCCTCTTCTCCTTCCCCTTCCCGTCTTCTCCCTTGCCCTCTGCCCCCTTCCCCTTCCCCCTTTACCCTCTTCCTCTTCCTTTCCCTTTCTCTTCACCATCCTCTTCACCTTCTCCCCTTCCCATTCCCCTCCACCTTCCCCCCTTCCCCTTCATTCCCTCACCTTCCCCCCTTCCCCTTCCCATTTCCATTCCTCCCCCCACCTTCCCCCCTTCCCCTTCCCATTCCCCCTCCACCTTCCCCCCTTCCCCTCCTTTTTCCCCTCCCCTTCTCCCCCCTCTCCCCACCCCTCCTTTCCCCTCCCTCCCCCCTTCCCTCTCTACCCTTTCCTTTCCCCCTTCCCCCTCTCCTCTACCTTTCCCTTCCCCTTCCCCCTCTCCTCTCTACCCTTTCCCTTTCCCCCTTCCCCCCCTTTCTTTCTCTACCCCTCCCACCCTTCCCCTCTCTTCTCCCTCTCTCCCCTCCCTTCCCCTCTCCCCGCCACTCCCTTCCCCTTCTTCCCCTTCCCTTCCCCTCTCCCTCTCTCCCCCTTCCCCCTTTCCTTCCCCCCTCCCCCTTCCCTCTTCCCTCCACCCTTCCCCCTCACCTATTCCCTTCCCCCTTCCCCCCAATCTCTCCCCCTTCTCCCCTCCTCGAGTACACGGGGTCTGAGGCGCTCGTGTCCTGGTAACATTTGTACTCGCGTCCGGTGCAGTTCTGGGAACAGGTTGGGTTCCCGACATTTACTGGCATTGATTACTTTCTGAAGGTCACCTGACAGGAAGTGGCAAGTGCACCCTCTCGTTCTCCTTCTCTTGTGGGTTTTTCTTCCTCGTTTCTTTTCTTTCTTCTCTTGGCTTCTTCTTTCTCTGTTTTCCTTTTTCTTAATTTTCTCGTTCTTCATTATCTGTTTTCCTTTCGTTTCCTTTTTTCTCTCTGTTCCTCTTTCTCATTTTCTTCTCATTTCTCTTTTCTTCATTTATCTGCCTTCCTTCTCTTTTCTTTTTCTTCTCTCTTCCTCTTCATTCCTTCTGCTTTTCTCTGTTCTCTCCCTTTTCCTTTCTCTTTTCGAATCTTCGTTTTCTTTTCTCCTTCTCTCTTGTTTACTTCTCCTTTGTTCTCGTTTTATCTCTTTCCTTATTCCTTTTTTCGTTTCGTTCTCCCTTCTGTCTCCTTCCCCTCCTTTACTCTATTTTTCTCTTTCTCTTCTACCTCCTTCGGGTCCCTTCTTCCCTTCTCTCTTCCTTTCTTTGCTTTCATCTACTCTTCTCTATTCCACCTGATTCCCTCCATTTTTTTTTTTCCCCTCCCTTATCACTCTTTTCCCCCTCCCATCTTCTCCTTCTCAGCCCTCTATTCTCCCTCTTCCTTTCTCCCTCCTTCCCTCACTTCCCTTATTTCTTTCCCCTTCGTTATATCCACGACATCGCTCTGTCTTACCACCATTCTTTCGTCCTGCCCTTTCCATCCTTCTTCTCCCTCCTCTTCCTTCTTCCCTCTTCACTCATCTATTCCGATCTGCCTTCCCTTCCCCTTTATTCCTCCCTCCCTCCCCCCACATCCCTACTATCCACCCCCTCACCCTCCTCTCCTTGCCTTTCTGCCTTTCCTATCTCTCTTCCCTCTCTCTCCCCCCCCTCCTTCCTTGCCCTCCCCGCACCTTCACTTTTCTCATCCTTCTCCTCCTTTTCCCTCTTACCCTTTCGTGCCCTCGTTTCTCCTTTCTCCCACTCCCTCCTCCTTCTTCTCCATCTCACTTCTTTCTTCCTCTCTCCTCTCCTTCCCCTCCCCCTTTCCTTCTTGTCCTCCTAAATCAATCTCCCTCTTCCTCTCCTTCCTCTCTTTCCTCCTCCTCCCCCTTTCCTCCTTCTCTCCCTTCCTCCTCCCACTCCCTCCCTCCTTCTCCACCTCCCTCCTCCCTCTCCCACTCTCTCTCCTCCTTCTCTCCCTTCCTCCTCCCACTCCCTCCTCCTTCTCTCCATCCTCCTTCCCACTTCTTCCTCCTCCTTCCTCTTCCTCTTCCTCCTCCTCTCTCCCACTCCTCCCCTCGCCTCCTTCTCTCCCTCTTCCCTCCCCTTCCTTCCTCTACACCTTCCCCTCTCCCCCCCCCCCCCCACCTTCTTCCAGCCCTTGCTCCTTCCACCGTAATTGCATATGTAAATAGCAGTTCATTATCTTTCTAATTAAAGAATGTTTTTTTATTATCATCTGTGTTATTGTTGTTCTGAGAAGAATTATTATATTTTCAGCGCTGAAATTACCATCGTACTCATCAACATCGTTGTTATTGTCCTCATTATTATCATTTTGATATTACAGTTTACTTTCTTTGTATATATATATATATATATATATATATATATATATATATATTTATATATATATATACACACACAACACATAGTGTGTGTGTATATATTATATATATATATATATATATATATATATATTATATATATTGTTATTGTTGTTGTTATTATATATCATTATTGTTGTTATAATCATCATTTATTATTATTATTATTTCATTATCGTTATCATTATTGTTATTATTATCATTATAATTACTATTATCATTATTATTGTTATTTTTATCGTTGTTATTATTATTATTACTACTACTACTATTGTCATTGTTATTGCTATTATTGTTATTTTTGTTGTATTTTTATGAATTGTCATTAGTGTTATTATTATTATCATTATTATTATTATTGCTATTATTTTTATCATTATTATTATTGATTAGCATAGCAGTATTCGTAAATGTTGTTGTTGTAGTATCATTATTAGTATTGTAATTAATATTATGATTATTGTCATTATCATTATTATTGTTGTTATCATTGTTCTTTATCATTTTATTGTGAATGTTATTGTTATTATCTTCTTTATTATTAATAGCAGTATTATCATTATCATTACCATTATTGTTATCATAATTATTATCATTATTATTATGATTAACAACAACATTATCATCGTCTTTATAATTAATATTACTATCATTCCATTACCGTTTTTGTCATTATCCTCAAAATTATCATTAACGCCATTTAAAGGATACAGCTGGAAAATAAGTCACGATTTTGAATCACTGTTATTTAATATGAAAAATTACCCCGTCAAGAAATGATAATGACATATAAGATGAATAAAAAAGGAAAGGAAAACGTATATAAGAAAAAAATGTAATACCTCAAGATTGTGTAATTTGAAAAATAGTTCTAAAAGAAACAGCGCGCCTCCATAACCTAGGAATAACGACCCTAAATTAAACCCGCGAAAAATTTCCTTCCTCCACAGACGGGGCGCTAACGGTTACGATAATTCAAACTAAATCCACTCATGACATTCACTTTTTCCTGGAATACGCCTGTGCTGATCGACAATCTATCTGCGCACACGCGCTATACTCACACTTTCACCTACTCCTCTAATACATCACACTCTATCAGTCTGCGATCACTACTAATACAGTGGAGTATATAATATATTTAGTATATTATCTAGTAGTCTTCATATCTTATCTTATAAAGCGGAGTGTGTGTACCATATTATGCGAAAATAATAAGACATCAATGACACATATACTCTCGAAACTAGTGATGAGTTAAGTCATGAGTTGAGACTGGTGTAACTTATTCCTCACTC